AAATATATTTAATAGATTGTATTTGTTATACTTGGTATGATCCGTATAATTGTTTATTTTAATCAGAATTTCATAGATAATTAAGGTGGCATTTATTAGAAGTTAGTTAATATATGGTGAAAGTTAGCTATCGTATTTAAATCAAGATTTCGATATTCAAACATTAAGCCTCAATTTCTGGATATTGAGCCTCTAGCCAAGAAGTATCCCATTTATATAACTTTTTTATGTCTTATTTTTATTAAACATGTATCTATTTAATTTAGGTGATTTAATCTTACAGTAAATATAAAAAAAACGTAAAATAAAGGCTTCACTCTAAAATAAGTACATGAAAGTTAGTTATATCCTGTGCAGTTAATATAATCGACCGCTTACGCGGCCGATTATACTTTACTATAAGTTCCGCTTATACGTACCCAACTGCTTGGGATATTTTAACTCAATATTCAGGTATCCAAACGTTGAACCTAATTTAGATTTGCTTCTGATGATTAAATTGGAACTGGACATAAGGCTTTCACCTCGGTTCCCTCAGCTCCAGCCAATAAAATAATTGATTTATTTTATAGACTGATCATAGTAAAGCATTAAATAATGAATATATTTAATGTATCTATGATAAAACGTGAAATAACTATTTGCTAACGAAATCTAACTAAAATTGAGAAATAGAATAATAATCTCTATCCCGGGCATATTTTAAATAACTTAATACTGTAATATTGTATTATCAACAATTAGAACGATAATAAGTAAAAAAAACAAAAATCTCGCTGATTAAAACTGATATCAAGCTGCATTTAAATTTAAACTTAGTAACAACTTTCTAGGGGAATGCTAGGTTCGTGCAAGATATTCTCGTTACAAATTCAGATTATATTTTTTTATGTTGTATTAACAAGTCACGTCAAAAGAGTTCTTTAAACCAATTTATATTAGTAAACTCACAAGAAATAAATTTCAATCATAATTAAGAGGTAAATCGCGGTTAAATGATATAAAAATAGCAAATTTAATAGTAGAAATTGTCAGAAGTTAATATAGTTTTTCTATAGGTTAGAATCAAAAACTGTGGGTCCTCTCTAAACAATAAGTAGTTTTCGACAATAAACAATGATGAAATTTTAGTTATAAATATACAAAATAAAAACTTATAATTCGGTTTTACTTAATGTAGCTTACAGGTTTGGTTATCCGGATTATCAGGATTCAAACATTATTATTTTAACTTCTTTTTCTGTCTCAATAATTTTAGAATATGATTTGTAGAGTAGTAGGATCTACTTCTATTCGATTCAACGTATGTTGGATCATGTATATTCAAATCATCTTTTAATACCTTTTCATTAGATTTATAAAGCATTGTGGTACATCCTTAATGATGGTTGGTCTTAAGTTCTCACAACAATTATTTATTATTGAGGATTTTTTATCGGTTATTGTAATAATTTCGGAAATTTCGGAAAATTAACTATACAGATTGTTTTCAAAACAACTACTAAAAGTACATTTTTTGAGTGAAGAATATAGTTTTTTTATGTTGAATTTTTTTTTAATCGATAGCTTTTATTACGCTCTTTTCAACAATAAACTAAGTTTTACAATTTTCATTAGCTTTATGTTTGTCAAATTTAGATAAAGTTTATTTTACATTGTTAAAGAATTTACTACTTATAAAATATAAATCGAAAAAAATGGCTCTATTACATTAAAGTATGCAATTTGCTCTATCTTTTTAAAAAAGATTAGACCATTAATTATTATACTAGTTCAAGAGAAAAGTGTACCGAAAGTTGATATTATCCGCAGTAAATTCAGATTTTCATAAAAAATATTCATGATCACTCCAATGTAACGGAAAGGATTAATCAATGATGAAACGAGATCAGTTCTTTAATTTCTTGGTAATAGTATACTTTTCAACAACTTCATCATCTTCGTCCGAATCATTGTTGATACGCTTTCGACGTCGATTTCGGATCTTGTCAGTTTCTTCGATATCTTCGCAATCGTCCGAATGACGAATATCGTGATTTTTACCAGCATGTGTGGGAGAAAAATAGTCGGTTAAGACACGTTGTTTGGGTTCTTGAAGGAGATTTGTCAGATTGAATTGTTCGTTTGCTTGAGGATGTGAGTCGGTAGAAATGATTTTTTTTTCTGAATAGGTTCCGGTATCAACTTCGATATCATCGTTAGTTTCGATGTCCGTATCTGTTAAAATGGAACAGTCAGCCAAGTCTGAGAGTTCAGTATGATCAATGGCGGCTCGGGGGACGGCGTCTTAGGTAGCATGGTCCTTACTGCCTGTTCCTGTTGGCCCGCATCTACACTCACCTTTTTTGAAATATTCTCGTAATTTTTTTTTTTTTCGGGGGTTTCAAGTTTATTCATGTTGATAGGAACGAAACCATTATATGAAGAAGTGTCTGGATCGTCGTTCATTGTATGAAGAAAAAGAATAGGAATGTCATGATTGCCACAATCCATTTTTCGATTATCCTGTAAATATCGAAGTGCATCTTTATTATTTTTTCGTCCACGAAAATCGGATATAAGAATAGAGTTCTTTTCGTAATTCGCATAATAATCAAACCCGAAATATTTCAATTCAAGCTCTTCATAACGACCTTTAAAC